CGGTCGGAGAAAATATAATGAGAATACGAATATAAGTGCTGCCGAAAAAAAAAACGCAAGGTCAACGGTTTACCCGTTTGTGTGTGTGTGCGTACCACTCCGAGGAAATCGAACCTCTGGCAGCCCCCGCGCTCGCGGCAAGAAAACCGGATATTGTTCAGTCGATGAAGTTGGAAATCAATTAAAAACACGAAACGCACATTTTGCTGTTGGTCAGATAGACCATGTCGGCTAGGAGAGGGTGGGTTGTTAGGTTTGGTCATAAATCTCCGGCGTACGTGTATTGGTGTACGCGTCAGTAGTAAACAATAATAATAGCAGTATTAGTTGTGTAGGAAATAATAACACGGCAATAGCTGCGCATGTACATTCTTAATAGGCGCTTCTCGTCTATTATAACCTATGAAGTCAATCCGCGGGACGCGCATAGGTTATCCATCGGGACGCGAGGCCGGTTCGTTAAAACATGCGTGTAATTCGTATGTGAGCCCGTTCAAAGGACCGGAGGCTAACTAGTTCACAGACGTACCAAAAACGGCGAAACAACAAAATATCAACTCAGAAGAGAGCACATTTTCGTTTTTAACGTGCCGCCGAAACGGTTGGTACTCGTCAAGTACTTCAAAAGATCAACGCGCGTTGACGAACAGTTTGTCGGTTTACTACTGTTGTTCGAAACGTCATAGTAAACCGAACTTTTGCGTTGTTTATTCGGATGAAAAAGTCAAGTACGGCGCGCTGTGGTGCTGATGATGGAAAAACACGGTCGAACGACTAGTTGACCGCCGTCCTCACATTAACGTATTGGTTATTTGTCATTACGGGCGCCCTTAATTATATCTTTAAAGTGTTCTTGGCCTCTCCTCCTACAATAATTACATAGGTATTCTTTTATGGACCTTCGACGTGATGCTGTGAGCGCGTGCGGGTGGAGGCGGCAAAACGGTGAAGAAAAAATACAAGATCCGGCCCGCTCGGGTGTTAAGGGGAATCCGGCAGTGGAATGCAATGCGTCGATGTGGAATGCGCGCGGACACGCAACAACGTAGGCAGATGTCCGAACCGGCAACGCTGCCGCTTCGCCTTCTCTCCATGTCTGCCGCGTGTTGACTAGGAGGCCGTCACACCCGTTCGGTTTCCTAGTTTTCAAAAGTTGTTTTCCTACCGATTCATTAACGACTTATTGCTAGGTGCCGACTCCTTACATAACGTTCTGCAACACCTTCCCTCCCTACACTCGTAACAGCTCCCCGCGGAGACCACCTAAACATCTATATGAAGATTACACTATTGTTCTGTATTTTTCGACAACCGCTTTTTTCCAATACATTTTCTTAGATTTTTTGTCAGTGGTAAACGAAAATCACAACTCATCTCAAACGCTACGTTTTAATAAGCTGTCATTTAAAAACGCTCAGTGCACTAGTTATTTCTAGATTCTCGTGTTAACAAGTAAACTTATTGTGGACATGGACTGCAACAACCCATTCTATCCCGACCAAACCTATTCTAAGATTGTCTTATTGAGCGCGTGTTTAAGGAGACGTAGTGTCTTGGGTGTCGAGTAGCCAAGAATGTACGAGGATCTAGACAACTGGCTGTAGGGTTAGAGGGGCAGGACGTAGTGTGATGAAAAGAGAAGTCGGACGATGGTATAACTGAGGAACAAGTGGGTGGGCAACCTGAGGGGAACTGCACGGCTAAACCAGACGTTCGGAGCGGACAATGCAAACGTAGCAGTAAGTATGCACAACGCTCGCTTGTGTGCGTTTTTTTGCAAACCCCGCTGCTGTATATCCATTACACCATTATGCTGATGTCATCGACATGGTTGTGTTTTCATTTATATAGTAACCAAATGAAATGCAAAACGTATCTAGGCGAGTGTAAACGGGGAACGTGCGATTCAACTGGCTTGTAGAGCGGCTATAAGACAAAGACAACAGAATGAGGTTGCACCCCCTGTGTAGGACCAGACCGCCGCGTTGTCGCATTGTTTTTTTTTACTTTAGTCGTTTGTTTTTCTCCGGGTGACATAGCGCGTGTGGACTACGGTAGACCGTACGCAGAAGCACAAGACGATTTTTAATCCTTTTTCCATGCGCATACATAATGTTGTTAATAGGGTACGTTCCGTTTTTATTTAGTTTCGTTTCATTCGCCGGACTTTGATTAATGGCCAATTCGTTTCCTATTAAAATGGTGTATTCGAGTTTTATTTTACCGCAATCATATGCAACAAAGAAATCCGTTGAATTTATTAGATGATCGATTCATTATTGTGTCAATTCATTAACTAAATTTTCTCATTAAAATAGTCAACGTGATGTCTATACTATTAATTATACTCAAATAAACCTACACTAAAAATGTTTCTGGAATAATTATTATATGAGCCATCAACTAAGAGGTCTTAATGTACAACAGTAACGTTATTTAAGCAATTTTTTTTATAATTGTATTTATTATTAAAATAATTGAGTAGTGGAAACTACCAATGCACGCTTAATATTGCAAGCTCTTAACACAGAAACTGGTGGATAGAGCACTAATTAAAAAATCCGCTTCGAGATATTTAAACGCAATATCAATACACGTTCGTCTAAAATGCGATCCAATTTATTTTTATGGCACCGGTATAATATAAATTTAAATGTAATCAAATGTTATGAGTCCATACGTTATAGATAATCGGTCGTTAAGACTTCATTGAAACGTCGATATGTTAGGGCTTGCTCATCCCCACGCTATAAATAGAATAAAAACCATTTCTAGTATTAGTAATCATAGAACAACGAGTTTAGTTAGTATAGTCGCTCATGTAACTAGTTTGTACGAGTGGCCGCTGATTTTTTTATTTTATCGCTTCATCTATTCATTTCGACATATAAGCAACATTAAATGTGTAATTAACCACACAATCGTTTTTTACAACCGTATCACACTCGCGATCATTCATGAAATAAATGTCGATTACGGTAAAAATTTAGAGCGGCGGTGAATGGGAAAACCAAAACCTGACCAGAGTCGTTTGGCTGAAAGTTTTCAAAGTTGTCTACACTCGACTCGCACATTTCTCCGTGTAAATCTGCCGTGTTTGAAGTGGTTTTTTCCTGTCTAATCGACGACAGACAGCAACCAACCAGAGTGGGTGTCATCTGTAGCTGTCTGTTAGCTACGGACAGAGTACACGAGTGGTGACAGAATTTTCGAGTGGTCGCTGGCAACACAAGAGCGGAGTCGTCGGCCGATACTTCCCGTGGCGAAGGACAATACTTGGGTGTTGTGATCCCTACAGGAGGTCTTGGGCCGCGCGCGCGTTTTCTTCCTCGGTGCTAGTTTTCCAACAGTTTTACACACACACACGCTCGTGCAATATTTTACTGATATATACTTGTACTACAGATATCTATTCCTTTTAGGAATGATAATAGTACAACAATGTGTTGTGCATAGTGAGACAGTAGAAAGCGAGAAGAAAAAGAACGAGGATGTGGTCGAAAAACGACCCCGTCAACGACTGACGGGTTAATATATTGTATTCTAATAACGTTGTCGGCGAAAACGGTGGCACTTTACAAAAGAACAATTCAAAAATAGCGACAACAAAAGTTCTCTTTAGTGTTGTGTGTATCGTTGAGTGGTTTATAACAAGTGTCAAAAGAAATGAATTTCGTAGAAGAAAACAAATCAACCCTTTTTGTGTCGAGAGACTTGACAACAACAATGAGTTTGTATGCGCTTTGTGGTTTATTCAAATGTTGTTCTAGTCGTTCTCGATAGTATTTCGAAATATCATACCGACCGAATAGTCCGAAGACGAAACAAGGAAATTTGGTGTTAAAATTGTAATGCGTTCTATGTAAAAAACAATCATTTATTTTTAAACAATTTACCTATAAATTTTGCTTTTATAAAGGAAATTGTTGATCTAGAATTGATCGGTCGTTTGATTAGATACTCTGACTCTGATTACTAAATAAAATACGCACTTAACCTAGTTGACATATATTTTTATTACCACAAGACCTAAAGAGTGGTATTTAAAATCCCATTTCTAGTTGGAAACCAATGTAACATTTTTTTTATTGATGAATGATCAATGGTCGACGAGTTTTTTCTTTTTTAAACGTGATCTACACGTCGTTCGACGACAACCATCACAATCGAGTTGATCGATCGTGTTTAAAACGGTTTTACAATTATTTTATGTAATCGCACATTTTTCCTCGCTGCGGTCATAACATAAAAATGTCATTAAAACACACACTTGCACCTACATAAATCATATAAGAGATGAATCACGTAATATACACGCGGTCGAATATGAATAACAAATCTCATTCACTTGTTGCGAAGTATATGATTGTGAATGAGAATAACAATTACATTATATCATTACAAATGGAGGTTTGCATAACAATAGTATCATATTATGATTAGCCGCCCGTCTCTGTATCATTACATTATTTATTTATGTTTGATATTCGTTAAATAAACTATCGGTGGTCTTTTACGCACAACGCTCAGCAAATAGTTATTTGTATTTTAGGAAATTTTCAATCCGACGTGTTGGTAACAAACTAATAAATAATTATGTTAATGAGCACGTTCAAATGGTGTGTACAAACGCGGTGGTGATTAATTTTACAGCAATTTATATAGATAACGTCAATTGATCGAATGTGCCGCCGACCCGTAATTATAGCATTCCTGAGATGTACTAATTGATTGATTTTAAACCGTTTTACAGCTGAGAAAATATCTTTGATATAATTTAAATAGTATTTTACAGAGTTCACAGAAGATGGTCGTATAGAAAATAATTGAATATTTTAAGCAAATAAAAATTATTTCAAAAGTCAAAAAAAAATATCACTTTGTATCGAATTAAATATATAAAATCGTACAATATTAAACAATAATACACAGTTNTTCACAGAAGATGGTCGTATAGAAAATAATTGAATATTTTAAGCAAATAAAAACTATTTCAAAAGTCAAAAAAAAATATCACTTTGTATCGAATTAAATATATAAAATCGTACAATATTAAACAATAATACACAGTTAAATTACACAATAATATAAACAAAAATCAATTTTGAGATGTTAGTTGTCGGATTCCTCACCTCGACCTTCGTTAAAAAGTTCGTCGTTATACGAAGTAGACGGACTGGTGGCAGTGCTGCAGGCCTCATTTTTTAACGGAGTCGTCGACGGCGTTTCGCCGTTTACCGACAGTCTGCGGGACCGCCGCCGTGACTGCGATGACGACACGGTTGGGTTGATGAAGGGGAAGTGTTGATAAGGCACCGAGAAACACCGCAGGTCGGGCATAAAAGGTGATTGGCCGGTGTAAGTGGAGTCACGAAGGGTGTCGTTATATTTTATTCGAGCCACCAACTGGAGAACGCCAATTTTGAAATCAATTTTCTGTTTTTCGTTCATGGACTTCACAGTGGGCATTAGCGACACCATAAATGACAGATCGCCGTCTAGTTGGCACAGCGTCTCTGTGGCTAGTTTACCAGCGAACGCGTTTAACGTCTCGGCGTGAAGTTGGACGTCGGCCGGCGTCACTGGTTCGTACCTCGGCGTCGTTTCTCGTTTAGACGATCCTTCTCCGAGGTTCTTTTTGATTTTCTTTTTTGGATTTTCCCTATCGTTGCTGTTTTTACTGGACTTGGAATCCTGGATGAACGGTATCAAAAATTGCAAGTGGTCGTATAGATAGTATTTTTTTCTGTGCTCCGGCGGCCCTTTGGATTTTCTCGGTTTCTTCCCCTTCACGTCCTTGACGAACGAATCTTTAATGTTGGTCCATTTTTTTTTAACGTCAGCCACTGAAATATAAATTGTTATTCGTTATCGATCGGTTGTTGTATGTATACATATCGAGTTAAACGTTTATTTACCTCTGTCTCGTTGATCGAATGAACTCAACGCGTGCCAATCCGAGTACAAAGATTCGGCAATTTCCATCCACATGTTAGTCAGCACTTCTTTGTTGAGATGATTTACGTCGGCCGTATCCCATATGCACGAACGATTATGTATTTCATGTATTAGTTTTTCCGTAAAATACACCATTTTTATCGCATTAAATAAACTAACTGATGATAGACGAGTAAAAGCGAAGAAAGAAATAGCATTTAAATGACTGCATCGCTAAAACATTTTTAACATGCGACCGCTGTATTTACCGAACTGTTGTCGACTGCCCGAATGGGAAACGGTAACGGCGGGGCTCCGGTATACGCCGGACGGGCGCCTGTCGTTCGATAATAAAACCTAGAGGGTCCGTTGTACGGGCGGTGCCGGAGGGCCGCGGTCCAACGGATAGCGGAGACAGCTGTGACGTCGTTGGAGGGTCGCAGTGGTAACCCGCGGCGGAGGGGATCGGAAAACACGGCCGGTTTGGCCGGGTTGCTACGGCTGTTGCCCGCAATGAAAACACCCGCCCGGCTGTTTTTCGATGCAGGGGTAACCAAATTGCGCGCGGCACCTACGGTACGGTCGACCGCCGGTGTGCGCCGTCCGGTATTACCAACCCATGCGCGCTGCGGCGGCAACGCCAGTACTGGTCGATTCCAACATCATACCTATCCGCCGTCAACGACGCTACACTATAGTAGCGTGTTACATGCCCACTGCGCTATACACAATCATACTATGAAAAACGGTTGACATTTTTTTAAGTTAACTGGTACCGATGAAATCATTAATTCAGTTTAATGATTTGATAATATACAAATAGTGTTAATAAATTTTGTCCATTTGAAAAATATATTTCTATTATTAGTATTTCTATTTTTGTTTTTCGTTAAATTTGACTATAAATCAACCTATTTATCGGACTCAAATCATAATAATACATATATTAAAATTGTATATTTATTATTTTATTTTTGTTTACAGGTAAGTGTTTTTGACTAAGTAACACATAAATGAAGATGCATGTGATTTCGGAAAATAGTAAGATTATTAAATTTTATACAAGTTCAATCATTTATTTTCTCAAAACCTAATAATATTTATGAATTTATCAAATGTGAGTTTGTACCAAACATATTCGGTAAAAAATACTTTATTTTAATGCCTTTTTATGATTATTACCGGGGTAAAATTGTGGTGATTTTTTTGTATCGTGTTGGTTCATTTTAATGTTAAAATAAGTTCAAGGTGGGCCTAATTCGAAACTAAACAAATGTATTAATTATGTCGTACACGTATCCGTGTTCAGCAACAAGATTAGTGCGTTAATACTTTTGTCAACTGTCCAAAAGAAATAATGTATAAAAAATTAAGTTTGAAGAATAACACCGTGGTGTTGGACCGATCTCGGGTCCAGATGGACATTAATGTGTTTTAAGTATATATTATGTATATATTTGTACTTAAAGACCATATGAATATTAATGAAAATGTTCACAAATCAGGACTTGTACACGCTTCTCGTCGTTTCCGGATAAGCAAAGGCGGCGACGCTTATGCTAATGGAAGAAGATACAAACAAGCTCGCGATATTTATGACATCTGGACACTCGTACGGGTATTTGCGTATGCGTGCATTCTATGGACACGTATTATTTTGTTATTATCATTGTTATAAGCTCATAATCCATGTAGTGGTTTAACTCCTACAACTTGTAATTGAAATTTTTTTTTTTTTTTACGCACACTCGGTTAACTCATTTGCTCTTAACTCGACTGAATTTAGAGGTTAATCTGAATCTAATATGACACTATCTATATGTTAATACGTGTCTAGACCCGTGTCGTTTATAATAATGTTAAATTATGTCCCTCAGACTGTCGTTCAGAAATGTACATTTTAGTGTAACTTTTTGCCGGCAGTAGGTTTTTTGTTAACGATATTTGATATCCTACGTTGGCTACTATTCGTCGCCACACTGTCCTCCGTCAGCAAACCATGTCGTGTATACACAATGCTCCCACGCTTACAATTTGTTCGACACGAACGGTGACGCGGTTTACAACTATCTAATATCGCAAAATAATAAAATACATCGATAATTCCTTCTGTCCACGATATAATGTGTGTTAACGCCATAGACGTTTTTAATAAACTTACATTTTCAAGTTTTGTTATTGCGCCTTAGTTTCATTACTCGCTCGCATAAAAAAAAATGTACAATGCGTCGCACCAATTTAGATTGCGTTTATGATATTCCTACGTTTATTTTGATGACGATAAACAAATCACGATTACTGATAATAGATGCAATAATTATAGAATTGATTTTTTTAATTATTTCCAGAAATTTAACTAGCCGTTTTTTAGATTTATCATTACATAATTATGAGATATTCTAATATTTTGTCGACCTAATTAACTATAATGTAATATTTCAATGTTTTCTTGTTCCATGGGAACGGTCATTAATACTGTTGACATGGCTCTATTACAAGATGAAATTCCTAAGTATACAATAGTAAACAATACAACGTGGTGAAAGTTCTAATAAACAAGGCGCTCCGCGTAGGCAAATCTGTAGCGTCAGAGCGTTCGGTGTCCAAGTTGACTTCCGTCGTCCGTCGTGTGTTGCTTGTAGTTTTCGAAGCTAATAAAACATGACGTCTTGTTGGAAGGTAGAAATTTGTGAACGGCCAGAAAATGAACACTTCATTTATGTCTCGTTTCATTTTGGACGTAGTGCTGTACGTGAGCGATGAAAAGCGCCTTTGCTCGCTCACACACAACAACCGCGCACGTTCGAGGCGTCGCCGGGTCGAGTCGTGCTTCCATTGTCACCCGTGCGCCATAATAGTATCCGGCACCGAACGGACTGTTCCTGTCCCTGCGACGCGTGAGTATTCCGTATACATTACCGAGGCGACCGTCTATTTCTATTATTGTTATTATAATATCGTTTTAAAGAGATGCGGTGTCAAGTTTTTCCGTTCGCACGTAAAAAATAACCTGATGTGCGCTATGAAAACGGACGGAAGAAAATATGCGTTTAAGAATAATATATATTTTTTAAACAGAAAAACGCCTTAGTGCTCACGACCCCGGGGCAACGGGCTATGGAGTAATACGTGCGCGCACATCGTACTCATTTAAATACTAAACGAGCACGACGACGCCTCGGTGCCATTATATTTTTCCTTTGCGGCCGTTCATGAAATTCATAACGGCCGCGTGCTCACGTTTTGACCTTCTCCGCCACCGTCGCAACAAGCAGCCCGTTTGCACATATATATTGCAATAGTCGAGCGTTTAATATTCGAACGCGCGGCTACTTCTGCCGTGATAATGCGTTGGGACGTGTTGCGTATGACAGCAACATTGTTGTACGTAGTTTTGTGAATTACATTATGTTGTTGAAACGCTAGAAAAAATATTATCATAAACAAAATAGAGGCTGTGCCGGCGGTTGGGTTGTTTATTTGTTTATTATCACGAGCCGTATCGTTGCACGTCTTGTCCGGCTCATTTTCTTCTTGACCCCACTCGGATAGTCCTATTACCTCGGGCGGCACAGTGATTCGTTAAAATCCTAAGCAAACATAAAACAACAACAATAAAAATAACTATCGTACGTTATAAATTGAATTATTGTATAATATCACACGCTAAACGAACGCACTGCTCCTATGATCTGTCAGCCGTTTACCGAGATATGTTGTGTGTGGGTACGTTTATTTTTTTACTATTTATCGTTACAACGATTCGGACCAACTTCTCTTAGTCGAGCACGGTGTTTGTATAATACGCGTTAGATATACAAACACTAACAATGCGTGTTCGGCGTACGTTGAAATCGTACACATAATTAACCGGACAATACACGTACAATTATATACAACGAATTAAACCTCGTGAACAGCTATGGGTCCTATGGGTAAAACGGGAATAGGATAATTGATTGCTAGTCGTTTTCCAGTTTAAAAGGTCAGTTTTTATTATATTTTGCACTGCTGTTGGACACCGGACCAGATACCTTAGGTGGTATTACGTCTGGTTTTTTAGAAACCAAATCACGTTTCTCTATCAGTTTAATAAACAAGATTCATTTCGCAGCGGATAATTTAAATTTTAACACTTTTACGAGAAAACCGACCGGGCCTCGGCCTGTTTTGTTTAGATATGATCTAATGGTTCCTAGACCAAATCGTTAAATATTTAATTGAAACATAAATTTAAAAACACGGCCGCTATCGATCGACCAAGTCACGGTTTGCGTGGTTACTATTAAATGCGGACGACTGAGTCGTACGTTAATGTGAAATCTTTGTTAATTATTTTCTATATTATCATTTTTTTTTTGTTTTCCGTGGCCATCAGTCCGTACCTTTAAATCCAATACAGATATTATTTCTCGTCGTCCACACAACAAATATGATTACTTGTCGTCATTTATGAACGTCAGACCGCTCGTCCAATCGGTCCCTAGCACGCGATAAGTGTTCGGTGATATTTTAAACGTCCATCACAGGCGGCTGCTATAAACGTTGTTTTGGACCGTATTAAAAATGCTGTTGTCCGTCCACTCTTCTCGTAGAGTACACGCCGTCATCGTATTTAACACGTTTGTGCGCTAGTGGCCGCCGTAATCGACAAATAATTATTCACCGGCTTTAAACGCGTTTGGCTAGTTACTCATTCGATAATACTCGTACATAATAATAGTATGAAGACATTAATGCGATTGTATCGTCCGAGAGGTGTGGCCATAATTAGCGCGCGGTATACCACCGAAAAACGTATTGAAGAAATGATCGCGCGCTGTGGCTATCCGACATAATCAAACCAGTCGCCCGTATCGCACAAAACCAGTGTGCTCGCGGTCCATACCGATGCGACGCGCACAATAAACTTTTCCATTTTATTCATAGCCCGTTAATGACCTGTCGTCCGGATGGCGGCGTTTTAAGAAAAAAATCACTGTGTTTACACAAAGATCATTGCACGTGTGTTGTGTACTCTGCACGGCCATTGTCGTTGTCACAGTCGCCGGGCGTCATCGTTGTCATCAAATTTCGATACCTTGTTAGCATAACAAGTACACTCGTGTATTATTGTAATGCCACACTGGTCGCAGCCTCTTCACCTGCTGTCGTTGACGCCGCGCGTTAACTAAATTTCTCCGTCTCGTACGGAACACCTCGTCGTTACGGGCACCGTGTCCATAAACAGATGTTCACGGCCGAACAATGTCCATTATTGTGGCTGTATCCAAACAAGCGTTATTGTCCGTCAATGGATGAAATCTCACCGAGATAAAAAATTAACGATGAATATTGTTGTAATAATTTATGCGAATACGAATGCCGGGTCAGTAATGCTTTGGCTAAAAGTGGCTTTTTTTATT